TTCGGATGGAGGGTTGACGAAAAGATTGAATGGAATAAACACAGCAGGGTCCACACCAGACGGCAGTAGCAGACCAAAGCTGGACTCTATTGTGAATGGGTGTGTAACTGTCGTCATTGGAAAATCCCACCTCATTAGGAGGCCACGAATCAAATCTAGTCGTGTCCTGTAGGTCTCAAAACGGCCTCAAGGCTCAAGGAATGTGATTGACCTCCAACCGGAGTAATCCCGGGTCATTCTACTGGAGAGAAATGAAATCCATTTAAAAATAGATATTTTTGCAATTTAGAGGTAGAATAAATATTGAAAAGTGGTATTCGAATCCTAAACAATTCAGACTGGAACTCCAAATAAAATTGCTTTCCGGAGAGGAGACGGACGTACTTCTTTACCGAGCAGGGCAAAGTTAAGGCAAAAAAACCCTGTGAATTGGGAGTGTCATCGTCAAAAAGGCGTAATGATGATGATATAAGACCTAGGAATGCCTTAAAGACGTAAAGGTGAGATTTTTGTTTCTTAAATGTGGAAACACAAATTGCTCAAAGCCAAATTAAAAAGACCGCTAAAGCAGTGCATGCATACATGTATATTTACTAGTAAATAAATATAGAAACATACGCTCATAGAAAAACACACACAGACATACGAACACGCATACATTCATGCATACATTAATACATAAGTGACATACACACATTCACAAGAAAACATACTTACAGATAGTCACAAAAGCGCACATAAAACCACACGAAAGAACATGCATACTACATCAATATAGCATGCACTCATAGATACATACACATTCATAACAAAATCACGTAAACAGTCACACATGCATGCAGAAAAACACAGAAAAATAGGCACCCACACACACAGTCACTCGGACTTAGTTAAATCGGTGGCGCATCAATTATTGCCATGCTCCGCTGATCAAAAAAGCTATGAAGTGGTATATGAAACCATATTTTTCATTTCACTGATCCAGCACACCTTGACGACTTGATCGACCCTCTTCTGATGATCCACTTGCCAGTTACCTGAAGTTAGTCTGGAACTAACCCGACTGGTGGATGGCAGCTTGGATGATAGCTTTTGTTTCTGTTCTGCTTACTCACACTTCATTCATCGACAAAAGTCCAAAGACTATCTATCGGCTTCAAGGAAAAACATGCATTTTTTTATCATTTGGTGTCCACTCGTGCCAGGATTAGCACGGAATCCGATGAGCCTACATAAAACTGATGAATTTTCAAAGGGAGAGGTCTTCTAAGGTGGTAAATTGGGAAAATGTAAAGTGTTGCTATGATTTAGTTTTCACATTAAAGTGCATTATAAAGAAATTCGTAGGGCGATCTCACCAGAAGGCGGCGGCCGATTCCCGCTCTTCTGCATACGATTGGCTTTAATACGACGTTCAGGTTGATGCAGACCACGGGTTATCCTCATTTGTTACGAACGAAAACTTGACGATGCCTGTCAAGTGGCAGGCCGGATGAAAGTTTAGCTAATTTTTCATCTGAAACGAGAGTAGATGTATCGTGGACTACGTCAAGTTGAAGGCAGTATTAAAGCCACACATCTGCAGAACAACAGGAGTTAGTTGTCGTCTTCCGGTGTTGTGACCAACGAACCTCTTTCATACGTGACGAAAGTCTCTAAAACAATGCCATCTCAAGAGATTTCTCGAAACCCAGTGGGCGTTTGTAGATAGAATGCTACAATGCCTACAGTTGGCTTTGTTGAAAGATTAGTCCTCACAACCATCCGAAGTTATCAAGGGCCCAGACAGCTCAAGTCCCCGACAGCAGAAGCTCTGTTTTGCGGCAGGATGTTGGGACGGTTTGATTCCAGCCATTCAACTCAAAGAGCCGCCTAGGCCTTAATTATAGCATATCAGGCAAGGCTGGACTGGATCGCGATGTGCCTTGAGGCGAAACTCTTAAAGCTGATCTTAAGCTGTAAGGCATTTAAAGATCCCATTCACATCCAGAAGTGGTCGAGGTTTCCACCTCGCCCCGTTAACTCATCAGAATCTTCGTCAAAACTACAACTATGCATTAGTTGAGTAAGGCAAACAGATTATATGAGTTATGTGAAATTCACTAGAAAACGTCAGTTCTACTTATGTCATTATGAGACAATTCAACTACCAGTCTTTCATCACATTAAACGAAACTGGGTGAATTTACTGGTTGTCCCGAAAAACTACTCAAAAATAAACTGATCATACCCTAAGCCACACAAGCATAGTTGCCATTAGCTTAACTACAAGCAGGATTTTCAAAGCAAGCAAACTTCTTTCCATTCGCATGGCATTTGAAGGGAATTTTTCGTTGATATATAATCGTATATTTAGCAATTAACCAAACGTGCTACTGATTATGTTTATAAGTAGGTAGTTAAGGAAAGCTTAGATTTAGCCATTTCTAAATGGTTAACAGGATGGCATCATGAATATCGTATAAAAGCCAAACGGCTGTAGTAAAATGAGATTTATCCGTTTTCATCTGGTGAGATCGACCAACGAATATCTTTTTCATTCACGTTCATACAAAATGAAAGTCCCCCTAACAATATTATCTCAAGAGATTCATCGAAACCCAGCTTCCCTTCGTATCTACTTTTGCTTGATTGAAAGATTGAAGGAGAGCGGGTTTTGAGCCTTCGTCGAAAAGAAGATGTCTCAACCTGTCAGCTCAATGAGGGTTCTAACCTCACTTACACTCGTCCAACATGTAAATTAAGTGCATCAAACAAACAAAACGTACGAGATTACGCAATCCCAGTCATACATTTTGTTGGGTTATAAACCCTAAAGACCCTGGACTGACAAGTGGCTAGTAACCTGATTTACAAGCGTGCAGGCTTGTATCACACTACATCAGCCAGAGTTGTGTTCGAACTTACGCAGCCTCAGTCAGGCTTTTTGTTGGGTCATTAAGCCTTGATGACCCGAGCCTAACATTAGGTTTTTGTAACTGCTCTTATTTAGAACTGGTACCTCGCCCGCACACACAACACACACTCCGACACAGACATTTTCGTATTAAGTGTAAAGGACTGTGGTAAATCGGAATCAGTTGTCGTATTTCGATGAGATTACCCCACAAATCTCTACATCACACACACTTTCATACAAAATGAAATTCTCCCCAACAAGGACTTCATGGAACTATAGGCTAATTTATCCCCATGGCTACCGTGAATCTCTGAGGCCTTATGACTTTCGCATCCAAGGCTAAGTCTGACCTCCCAACAACGAAGTCGCTGCCATAGTGCCGAGGCAGGAAGCGTTGAACGCTGTGACTATCACCACGAGCGACGTTGTCTCCAGCACCGTCGCCATCGAGGCCACTGAATGCTCGTTGTGAGACGCATTCCTCTCCAGATAGCCATACCATTCAAATTAGTTTGCATTTAGTGGAGAGCGACTCCTCTGAATGCCGTCCATATGCACTGAGATTGCCAGGCTGATTCAAAAGATGTTCTCAGCCCACTTCGTTTGAAGTGATGAAGTAGTGCTAGTGAAAGTTTCCCAAAACCAAATAAGTAGTCGTTTGTCTCTTTTCAATTTCCCATAGTTCTGCTGTTCGAAAGGCATTCCCATCCCGACTGGACTGGACTGGTTTGACCTCATACCCGCCCCACAACGGGACTCGAATCCAGTCTGTACTGGTGCAGCGTCTACCCTCAACACGTCAACCGTTACACCAGACTGCCACAAGTGCACTTGGGTCACAGGACAAAAGTGATTTACGACATTTCAAATACACTCGTGGCGGTCTGGCGTTGTGGCTGACGTGTCGAGACGCTACGCTGTACCAGCACGAACCGGGTTCGAGTCCCGCTGAGGGTGCTGATCAAACCAGTTCAGGCGAGGTCGAAGCTTTAATCAACTCCAGACGGGATACGACTACATTTTGGAGAACAGGGTCTTGTGAAATTCAATGAAATTCAATTGTCACATCATTGTGAGAAAATTCATCTACTAGCCCCTCGTCACCTTAAACGAGATGGGCTGAATTCATTTTATAAATATGATTTGGTAGTAGTCTCGAAAAGCTACTCAAAAACCGAAAAAAGGCTTAGAAGCCTACCCAACCTGAATAAAACTAATTTAGTCGATTTAACGGCAAATACAGGGTTGCTTCATCGATAATTGCATTACAAAGTCCATATCTACCCTGTGACTTACTGGATGAGAATAGCTTTTGGAGAGCAAGACTATGTGAGATACAATGGAGGCTAAAAACCTACTCACATGATTGTGGGAAAATAAAAATATCGGCCATTCTTCATCTTATGCGACCTGGGCGGACTGGCTCTTTTGTAAATACATTATTGACGAGCGTTTCTCCCTCTCCCGCTCTCTCCGTTAGGTGATAGATAGACTTGATCATCTATACAAGGTATGCTCTTGCGTCCACTCTGTAGTTATGGTGATGGTAGTAAGGGCTTGGTGACACTTGAGTTGGCGACCCTGTCGGTAGCATGAGGCAGACGCACCCTAAGCCTCTACAGCCCTCTTTCAGGCGGACTTTGTAATCAGTTGGCAGGACACAAATACGCGCAGACGGAGACCGAGAAGAGGGCATATCAAAAGCTGGTGGCTGAGTGGAGGAGGGAATCACTGTTAAAGGCCCAGGAGATGTCGGAGGCCGGGTGGGGAAAAGCAGGTTTACTCACTGCCAGTTGTAGAAGATTGTGTGTCATTATTTTTTGCCAGTGTCGGCAACCGTAGTGGCAGATCGTAGATATGACGAACAAGATTGTTTGGCCCTACAGTTGTTGGCAGCCTCTTCTGACTCTATTAAACTGGTATGACCTCATTTTGGCAGCTTGCAGACAAGATAGTTAAGTTCAGCCATCAGTTAGAGAATGGAATATTTAGGCGATCCCGAAGGAAAACAACAACACTCTTCACAAGATTGCGCAAAATTCGGTGACTGACGTACTTCGAGAAAACAAGACAAATAATCAGCATAACCATCAAAAACCCCAAAGGCTACAGAGAGCTCGAAGTTAGGTGGAGACTAGACGTGAGATGAACCGGAAGGCAACGGAAGAAGGGCTTTCGAGACTATCAATGACCGATTCTAGTGAAGGTGATGATGGATTGGTAGTTGAATTTGTCCACAATCACTTCAGCAGACCTCACTTTTTCAATTAATTCTACATGACCTTGCTTCCCCAAACATAGTTTCATCAGGCCCCGTGA